GCCGCGGGTCCTTCTAGTGTATATATAAATATATATATATATATATATGTTATACATATAATTGTAATGTTAACATAGATGTTTAACATCTGCCGAGCGTCCCGTGACGGCCAACTTTTTTATTGTTTTTTTAGAACTTCTATACTTTAGCAATTTAAGTGATAATTGTAATAAGGGCTAACGGTTTAACAAAATGAACCTATCATCTTTTCAAACGACTGTCGACTGTTGCTTTTCAGTACGTGTACGAAAGTGTATGTCCGTAAAAATATGCACGAATTTCCCAAGAAGTGTGACATGCATAACATTAATACTAGGAGCAAACACAAACTTGTAATGCCTGTGACTCGTCTACACAGAGTCAGTAATTCTTTTTATGGACAATGTATACGCTTGTACAACAGGATCCCAGAAAATGTTCAAAAGACTTCTGTCGCCAAATTCAAAAAAATTGTTAAAGAACGTTTGTGTGCTAAAGGTTATTATACAATAAATGATTTTATAGAAGATGGCACACCTTGGGAATGAAATGATCGCCTCCAGGCTACTTCAACTTGATAGAAATATTGTAAATTATAATTTTACTTTAAAAAAAGATAACAAGTCAATATTAGTCCCGCTGAGTTTCTTTCGCCAGTTCTTCTCAAGTATGAGGCTTCTTCTTTCCGAACTGATAGTAGACTCATAACGTTCAGTAAAAATTAGTAATAATTTAATGCAGAATAAAATATATAGAATTTTGAACGAAAACATCCCAAATTTATGCCATCCAATTTCTTTGCAAAGGCTGGGAATTTGGGAAGTATATTACTGCATCATCTGTGGTAAATCTTATGAAATATAGATTTTTTTTTATTTAAAGTTAAGACACATTCGAGCTTTACTGCCTACATAGCGTTGCTTTGAAGCCATTCACAAGAATTGAATTGATAAAAGCGGTGGTTTTACTCAGTAGTTTGACATTAAAAAATGTGAACAGAGATTATAAACTTACACGCAAAAATAAAACACACAATATATACGCTAAAATCTTTAATATTAACAATAATATACTCTACATGTTACAATAAATCTCCATATAAATACTCTACGGGACATTGCCGTTGACAGCTGTCACTGTCAACTGTCACTGCCAATGTCGCTCCGACACTGACAGCTAAGTGGCCAGTACAGATAAAGTAACACGTCTAATCGGATACCGACTCTAACACCAAGACATTAAGCGTGAATCTAAACCATTTAGACACTCTAAACATCATCGAAATGATCACAGCAAATTACTACTAAAATTAGAACTTTTTATTTATTGATAAATTATATATAATTATATAATAATATATACATATGGGATATTTCATTACTTATTGAGGTATTTAGAACATAGTGTACTTTTGGAAAACAAGTATTATTTTGATAATATTATTGAACATCTACTTTAAGTACATTGAATCTACAGTACATATATTAAAAAATTACATATCTATGGACATTCGAATTGACTTATCTGTAAGATTTTGAGAAAAAAAAACAAATACAGATATCATATATATTATGGATAAAATTAATTAATTAATTATTTTTATTATCAAATTAATAATTAATTAATATATGTAAACGTACAAATACCTTTGACTTTTAAAGATAACAACAATTTTAAACTTATATATTTTAATAAAGCGTTTCCATCTGTGCCTGTATAAACAGTTTTTTTAAGAAAAAAAATACACAACTCATTTTAATGAAAATAGAAAAACAAAAGATTTATTTTATGCGAATTATAAATTGAAATAAAACTATCTGTTCGGATTTTTTCGCGGATTTATTTTTAATTTTTTGTTTCCGACGTTTCGAATGCTTTACAGCAATTATGATCTCAAAGGCCAGTATATACTGTAACAACTATACCTTAGAGACGTCTAAAACCCTAGTCTATCCCGTGACCATGAGCGCTGTTCATGCATTCGAAGCGTCGGAAACAAAAAATTAAAATACATCCGCGAAAAAAACCGAAAAAAATATTTTATTTAAAAAATCAAATATTAGCGTAAATCAAAAAAAAGTATAATGAAATCAAATTACATTAATAATTGAAAAAAATCATTTCAAATTCCAGCCATATATGTCTACTATCATTTGTGCCTATAGATCCTATAATTAATGTGCCCTTTTATATTAACCGACTTCAAGAAAAGGTGTTCCATTGCTTTTTTCTGTTTGTATATTTTTGTATTGATGTAATAATTTATCTGGCGGGTGGTCCCATACAAAATTGAGGGAAAAGTCCACTCTTAATGATGGAAACGGTGTTTTTTTTTCGTATACAGACATCCAGGCACATACATAAAGTTTATTTAGAAACTTAATAATAATTAAACAACATGTTATTTAATTTTTTGTACCATTCATACGAAAATATGCATGGGTTATAAATATTACTCTGTAACTTAGACAAACTAGTAAGCAATGTTAGAGACGGAGCGTAGAGAAGATATTGAGTGACACATGAGATGAAGTTGTAAATAAATATGTTGGTACATTAACACACAGCACCATCTAGTTCCATGGTAAGCTACGAGGCCTGTGTTGTGGATACCAGATAGTTGATACATGACACATATATAACTTTAAATACATACATGTTATAAATATAAACACACAACTGGAGTACATACACTCGTGCCCATCACACAAATGAACGCCCCCAGCAGGACTCGAACCCGCGACCGCTGGCACAGCAAGTAGGGTACTACAAACTGATCCAAACCAAAAAAAAATTGTGAACAAAATATTTGGTCACAGAAGTGCAGAAATATTTTTAAAATTAACAGTAAATATGGATTCATTTACTGTTTGTTACACGCTCCGTCTTATCAGTGAGTTTAGATAAGGTGTCTTTGTTTAATCAGTGTAGAATAGATAACTAAAAAATTGTATTGAAATGACCAGCGCCAGATTCAAACTTAGCAACACTCCTGCATACTATAAAAAATGCCGTCCCATTATCGAAATTTTGAATAAAATGAATAAGTTTGGATAAAGATTATTTTTTTTTAATTTTTTAAAAATGTAATAAATAATACATTTATTTTAAATTTTTCGGAAAATGTACTACTTACTATTTTTTATTCAATATTAATTTTTATAAAAATGAAAAAAATATTTATTGCATTTAAAAAAAAATCAAAATAAAATATTTATTTTCAATTTTTCGGAAAGTGTACTACATAGTGAGTTAATATTGTAGTTATTAACTTTTTGAAAACTCACCCTCCAAATTTTGTCTTTGTCATGTCTTTTGAAAACTTGCTAGGTTCTCTCATACATGTAGGTTGTTTCCTCACGATGTTTTCCTTCACCGTAAGACAAGTGGTAATCATGTTGGAAATGATTCCCAAGTGAAAATATCAAAGGTGCGAGACCCGGGATTTGAACCCGCTTCACTCGGTTTCCCAAGCGAGCGCGTTACCACTGCGCTAACACTCTCGAACCACAATATGCCATTCCCATATAATTTTTTAATTAAATTTCTATACTTAAACGATTTAGAATGACATCTTATCAAAGTTTTAACTTGTTTGAGTTTTAAAATTATTATTATTTAATAATCTTTTTTTTTTAATAAACTGAAGCCCACATTACAGATAAAAAATATTAATTTAAATAAAAGATGTTTTGAATCTGTATTGAATTTTTTTAAATACTATTTATTATCTTATATGAATTATAATTGAGTTTTAATGAATTAATGATACCACGATTTTTTTTAAATTTTTATGTACATTTTATATTTTTGAGAACAAAATGTAATTTAATCAGTAATTTATAAACAATTTTTTCTACATTATTTATAAAAAGTAAAGAATAGATAGTAAAAAAAAATATATAGAAATACATCTGTGTTAGTTACTTATGTTTATATTTTATATTTAATAAATTTATATATATTTTGACAGAAGTGACAAGCACTGGATAGTAACATTTTTATTTCAAATAAAACTATACATACTATAATAAAATTTCATCTGTCATTTAACAATAATGAATTTAAAAAATAAAACAATAAATTATGCACCTTAAAATCGAGAGTTAACTTAAACCGACCTATATTTAACCGACTAATATATGTATGTATGTTTGTGTATTTAAATAAAAGGCTAAAACTAAATTGGTTGATAACAAATAAAATGACTAGACGTATTCCAACGTGAGATCTGTGCATATCTCGTTAGCTTCGATGAAATGAGCGTTTCGACGCGGCGGGCGAAACGCCGCGTTTTTTAAATTAAAAGTTTTAAATAAAAAAAAATATAACAAACTTTTTTGTTTTAAGAATTATGAAAATAGTTATTATTATGCATTTGGACTTAAAGTAAGAATCAAACAGTTGAAATTTTTTTTTTTAAATTAAGTTAATATTAATATTATAAACTATTAATTTAAAAATTTAAATAAAAAGAAAAAATCTAATTCTCGTTCAAAACTTTGTCAACACCCACCTTCATTAGGTTTCAAACATTAAAGTATCTAGTATTGTAGTTGTAATAATATGGTGCTATTGCTTAACAATTTTATTATAAAACTGCATCAAAATAAGTAAAATAAAATAAAATATATTTAGATTTTTTTCTTAAACACTATCAAGATAGTTATTAAAGAAAAAAAATGTTTTTTTTTTTAATTTGATGCATTTTCAATAATCTATTGTACAAATGTGCGTTTCTGGCGAGTCCCTATTATTTGAATATAAAAAAAATATTTTGATAGAAAATATATATAATAGAAAAAAATTACTTCAATTCAATTTATCATTTTAAATTAAACGAAATAAAAAAAGAACTGTCAATTTTATCACTGGCAACATTGTGTTAATGGTAGTTTTTTAATTTGTCAGAACTGGCAACATCCAAATTGTTTGACACTTGACAGATAAATAAAATATATATTTTCTATCAATAAAACAAAGGAGATATGTTGTGGGGGGAAGATTATTGCTTTGTTTAGCGTCGGCCATTACGTGTGTCCGGGTGAGGCCGACGCGGTTGGTTGTAACCTGAAAATTCATTTTTCTGCAAATCTGAAGCCCATTTAAACAAATTGTACTTAAGATAATAATATTTAAAACGAAAAAAAAAACGTCAATACAAATCAAATAAGGTCCAACTCGAATGTACCGATAGTCGTTGAAGACTTACACTTCCTGACTCTGTTATTAATTACGTGAGCTCAAAATGGCGGTGTTTTAATAAAATCTAATTTCAACTGAAGAATCTTTAAAACAATGTATTATACCAATAATAAGAAAAAAATATTAAACCTTGTTTTTTCGTTACCTTTGTAAGTTTCCATTTTGGCTGCTAAAAAAAATTGACGGCCGTTATAATAAATATTTATATATAACTAGACACGTGATATACGGCGAGCTCTAAGGCCGGCTGGCCGGATATCCGGCAAAGCTCTAAGGCCGGATATCCAGATCTGTTTAATTGTTCAATCACTTGGTACTTATATGATCAATTTTCAACATTAATGTTTGTTACCTTATAATTGATCGAGACTGATTTTTTTAAGCAAAAAAAATTTTTTTAGACGCCATACAAAAATAATTCCATCATTACCTGGCGGCAGCGGGCCCGGTGATCGCCTGCACCACGTCCCTGGGGACATCTGAAATGAAAATTATATTTAAATCTATATATTATAAAGAGGTAAATTTTGCGAGTTCGTGACGTTGTAGGGAGTAATCTTTGGACCTACTAAACCGATTTAGATGAAATTTGGTAAGAAGATAGTTTGAGACCCTGGGAAGAACATAGGATACTTTTTATCCCGGAAATCACCCTTTAAGGGTTGAAAATGGGGAAGAAAGTTTTTATGGAGTATCAAGCTCATACAGAGTGGAACAAATGGGTAAACGTACCTTAAATATTGAAAGTATCAAATTTTACTTAAAATTATATATTAGAGATAAAAACTATCCTATATCCTTCCCAGAGTCTCAAACTATCTTCTTACCAAATTTAATCTAAATCGGTCCAGTAGTTTCGGTGTGTATTCGATACAATCAAACAAACAAACACAAAAAATCTTTCCTCTTTATAGTGGAATAGGATATATCATTATTGACACAATCGTATGCTGTTACGTAAGCCTGTTGAAGCCTCTGAATCCCAAACTAGATTAAACCTGTATATCAGGAATCAGCGCCCTCTTCCATCTTCAATCATAAGTGCAGATCGATAATATGACAGACAAAGTTTAAATATTAGTTTAGATAGGAAGTAGTGTATATAGTGTAGTATAGTGTGTATAGTGCATAGTGCATAGTGTATACAGTGTAGTGTAACTCACCTGTCTGACGAAGGGCGCGGGCGGGCGGCGAGCGTCCTCACGGCGGCGTGGTGCTAACGCGCGCGGCTCTGCGTCTGTCATACAAATCACATACTATAGTTTGTCCATTTTATTAATGATTTTTTGACAGTTCCACGACTGACAAGTTATAGTGATGTCCTAAAGGACGTAATAATCGATATCGATTTTTGTTTATAAAAAATATAATATTAATAATATTTATTTTCATATTTATTAATATGAAAATACATATCACCTTACCTTATTTACATATTAAGCATTTATTTCTACCGATTATTTGTAATATATGTTACATATAATAAAATACTAAATCGAATCTGTAAAACATTAAATATTTTTTGGAAAATCTTATTGAAATAGTCATTATTATCGATACAGAGGCGGATACTAGAGTTTTTTGAATTTTTGTCTGTCTGGGGACGCATGATAAGAAAACCACTACATGGATTTTGATGAAATTTGGTATGATGATAGCTGGTTATCCGGGTCAATATATATGATACTTTTATTGCGTCAAAGTATCTCATCTCTGAGAAATCTATACTAAACGTTAAAACGTATAGGTAAGGTGAAATAAGTAAAATAAAAATATAACATATATTTTTTTTAAATATACAAACAATAAATGTGATCTATCACTTCCATTTCTAACTTCCGCGACTCCAATATATCGACTTGCCCCACAATCACACCTGAACAAGTTTTACTACAAAAATGCATATGATCAGAAGAGAAAAAAAAATTAAACATTCACCCCATTCACACAACCGTACACCTCCTCCATATTTAAAGTCGATTAAGCAAACGCAAACATTACATACAGTTGGTTTTGACTTGCAAGTTGCGTATGGAGTCGACGATGGCGCGCGCCGCTGTGCTCAGCCGGCTGTCGTCTGCGGGGGCTCCCCTGTAATCAAATTATTAATATTATAAATGCATACAGTTTGGATGGGTGTTTGTGCGTCATACACACATGACAGAACGGCTGAACAGATTTAGATAAAAGAGTATAGTAGGGCAAGCATGGGTCTAACCTAGCTGTTACTATTCTAGTCCGTAACGAACATTAAAAAAAATATATGTTATAGTAAGGGTAATTTATAGAAAAAAAAATCGTGATAGTGTCTTAAAATGCATGATATTTTTATTTATTTTTTTTTAAACTTTTTAAATTTGTGATATTTCGATATACTTCAAATTAGAGTTCAAAGTATCTTATTTAATATGTCTTTGGAGTATCTAACGTTTGCAGAAAAGATCACACTTTTTTTTAATGTGGTTAAAGTGAAAAAAAAGTTTTTTTTTTTTTTTTTTTTTTTTTTTTTTTTTTTTTTTTTTTTTTTTTTTTTTTAAATTCAATTAATCGTTTTATTTGAAAAACTAGCGCGTGCAGAGGTGTGATAGTTTAGGAAAATGTTTCTCTTAAGAAGGTGATTCCATTGTAAAAATATTAACGTAATTTTCCAAGGGGCATCTGACCCATGCTTACCTTCCTATACTCTTTGGCACAGAGATAGATTATAGTCTGGAATGGCACATAGGTTACTTTTTATCCCGGAAAAATTTACAGTTCCGTGGGATAGATTTGTTTTTGTCCTTCTACTAGGGACGAACCAGAACGAAGCGAGGGTGAGTCGCTAATAATTATATATAACTTATATACAACTAGTGACTCAGCTTGAATAGTTTAAGAACGCATAAAAGACAAACATACAAAGAAAAATTCTTTTTTTTTTTTTTTTTTTTTTTTTTTTTTTTTTTTTTTTTTTTTTTTTTTTTTTTTTTTTTTTTTTTTTTTTTTTTTTTTTTTTACACTAGGAACATTTGTAGGCATATTCAGAATAATCCGCCAGAGTTTCATCACAATCGGATAATTGATTTAGCAACTAATGTAATTTTTGTATAGATATATCTCCAGGTCTGGAGAGTGGCATAAGCTTATTTTTCAAATAAAAAATTCCTAATTCCTACAGGCAATTGTATTATAATTAAACTCATATATTCAGCCTCTTTGTGTGTGGCTCTCGCTTCAGTACGAGGGCGTTCAGACCGTAGTCCACCACACTGGCCAAGTGCGGGTTGGCGGACAGTACAACAAGTCGATTTGAAATAATTATTTTTGAGGTGAAAACTTGTATAGGCAGGTTTGTTTGGATGAGGAGTAAATTCATATAAGTCGTCATCGACATGGTCACGTGACGTGTTAACGTTAACACTCAGAGTGCCGATAGATGTCGACACCAGGTAAATGTAAACAGTTTTAATTTACAAATTTTAATTTAAGACCAAACAATTAATTTGAATATCCAAAAATAACAACTGTTTGTTTATAGTTTTAAGTTTTCACTTCTGTTGGCATTCCTCATCACTGCTTTTTTTTTTTTTTAATTTTAATCATGTGTATCGAATACGAAATCACTTAATTAAATAACTACAAAAAAAGAACTCACCCCACAACAGTCCCGTTAAAATTAACGGGATAGCTTCCCAAAATCCCGTTACCGCTATTCCTTCTACGCCATTCATTCCTTCCCTTATCCCGTGTATTCAATTGTGACATCTGATCTTTTATCTGTTGTATTTTCGTCTGAATGTCGTTCTGTTCGTCTGGATGTTTGTATTCGTCGTATCTCCCTTCGTCGGCCTGCCGTGATGGGTTTCGTTTAGCACGGGGCAAGTTTCGTCGTAGATCTGACTGCTTGTCCATTAGAGGATATATCGGTTGGACTATCGGATATGGTTGTGGTATGACCTGTTGATTGAAAATTTGGTTGTTTAAGTGAAACTTCTTTAGATTCGTCGATTTGGTACTCGATGAAACGAAAATGCAACATTAAAAAGAGACAAAAACATAAATATATATGATTAAGCCGGCGAGAGAATGAGATAGAATACATTGCATTGTTGCAATGGCAACCATTGTTATTTAAAATAGAATACCTTACACAGGGAGTGAAATATGATAAAAATAAATTACTGAACAATATGTAATGTATGTCAAATAAAATGTAAAGTAACTTTTAGACTTGGTAAAAATATTATTAAAAACCTAAACTTCACAATGACCTCACTCACATCCCACTCTCTCGTAGGCTACTTTCCTTTTTTTTACAAATTTTTTTTTACAAAAGTTATCTGTATCTTAATTACTATTTCAACAGCTATATAGTATCAAAAGCCTTTCATTAAACTGGCTACGACAGACAAACGGACATGATGAAATCATAATAACTCTACCTTCTTAGCTTTTTCGACATTTATTCTCAAGACTTTTGCAAGAATTTTCCTTACTTTACATAGCCTTATTTGGCCTGTATTGAAAAATAAAAAAATATATTCATATAAACACACACATTTACTACTATCCACGTTGTATTCATGTCTTTTCAACGTCCCACCGCTGGGGGTGGGCCTCCCTTCAACGCGAGGGGGATCAGGCCATAGTCCACCACGTTAGCCGAGGGCGGGAGGACTGAGCATGTCTTTGGAAAACTTGCTAGGTTCTCTCAGACATGCAGGTTTCCTCAATATATTTTCCTTCACCGTTAAGACAAGTGGTAATCATATTGGAAATGATTCGAACATGAAAATTATTAGACACATCACCCCTAGTGATGGAATCCCACCCGACCCACCTGTGGGTATACAATGTTGTATGGCTGGTACATGTTGGGATACACCAACGGATAGAGGTCTTGTACCACGAACTTGCTGGGCGCGGGGATAGCGGGTTGCGGGATGCTGGGCCACTGGACCAGTTGCTCTTGGTACTGAGATGAAATAACACATCATATAAATAACAATCTATACATACAGATAAATAAAATTGAAGTGTCTGTATGTAATGTCAAAATGATACACTTTTTACTAAATGCACGTTAATATATTTAATATAATTATATACGGTAGTAATAAGAACTAAATAAATATTAACATTTCTGTCAGTCTGTTTGTTCCGGTTAACCTTTGAAACGGCTGAACCGATTTCGACGGGACTTTGACTGGCAGATGACTGATGTTATAGTCAGTAACTTAGGCTATTTTTATTTTAGCAAAAGAATTAAAGAGTTCTGCACAAAACAATTAAAACCCAATAAGAAATTGCAATCAAAATTCGCGCAATATTATAATTATACTAAATTTTACAATCTTAAATATATTCATTTTCGTCCATTTTAAATGTTATAGTATATTAGAAATATGTTAGAACTATATATATATATATATATATATATATATATATATATATATATATATATATATATATATGTATGTTTTGTAGTGGGTCGAAAATTGTTAAAATCAATCTTACGTAATTAATGAATGGCCCCTTAGGAGTTACGAGGGAACATATGAGTACATACAAGTTAACATAATCGTCCTTTGGGTTTCGTCTCAGTCGGGTAAATTATATACTATAGTAGCATTGCCCGCGGCTCCGCCCTCGTTCCGATATCCGAAAACCAAATTCTTAGATTTTACATATTAGTATACTCTTACATTGCAGTTTTTGTATTTTTATTTTTTTCTCAGAAAAGAGATATTTTCCCGCAGTAAAAAGTATCCTTTAAGTTGACCTGGATAACCAGCTATCACCGTACCAAATTTCATCAAAATCCCTCCAGTGGTTTTTCTGTAATGCGGCAACAGACAGACAGAGAGACAAAAATTCTAAGAAGCATAGATTCTGCCTCTGTATCGATAATAATGTCTATTCCAATAAAATTTTCCAAAAAATATTTAATATACAGATTCGGCTTAGTTACAATTTTATTATATGTATAGATGTACAACTTACGGGATAATGTTGTATAGGCTGCTGTATGAGGACATTGGGCACGGAGTACTGCGGCATGAGTCCCGGCTGCACCTCCACTTGGTTGTAGGGCACGCTGTAGCTGGAGGGTACCGGGTTTACAAATAATATATATATATATATATATATATATATATATATATATATATATATATATATATATTAATTCTTAAGAATTAATACAATATATAACTAAACAGAATCTCACCCTCTCGTCTGTTGCATTGTGTTCGGGTCGCAAGTACCGCACGTCGCGCTGAAGTCGGCCGCGTACGGGTAGCTCGGATCTACATGTACAAAGTAAATATATTTATGATATCTATTATATTATCTATACAGATAAATAAAACTGAAATGTCTGTTTGTAATGTAGAAATAATAGCTTTTCACTATAAAAATGTGTATAATATTTTTACTAATACTAAAGTATATACGGTAAACGTAGATTTCTTAACAAATATCTCATCAAAAAGTGGGCATCCACATGTTACGTTAAGTCAGACCAACAAATAAAATAAAAAAATAGAAATTTCTAATTGTCTAAACACAAAATCGAACTTACGCACACCACATAAAGTTCTCATTTAAACGAAACAACGTGAGTTTTAATTTTAGCAATGAATAAAAGAGATCTAAAAAAACGCGCACAATATCGAAATATGCGCTTTTTTTGTTGGGACTCTTTTGAGATGTTAATTTTTTATACATATTGAATTTTTGTATATCAATCCGTATTTAATATTATAAATGTGAAAGTTTGTGAGTATGTATGTTTGTTACTATTCCACGCCAGAACGGCTGTACGGATCTGGATGAAATTTAACACAGATAATAGATTATAGTCTGGAATAGCATATAGGTTACTTTTTATCCCGGAAAAATGTACAGTTCCCGTGGGATAGATTTGTTTTCGCTTTTCAGTAGGGATGAACCCAAACGAAGCGACGGTGAATCGCTAGTGATGTATAAAGAAGTATATTAATTACCGATTCTGAATGTGTTATCGTTGTGCGGGGACGACGCCATTTGCTTCTGCTCCTCGTGCTGCTGGATCATTTGCTGATACATCGGGCCCGGCAGCTGTTGCTCCTGAGGGAAATTATAATAAACACGGGTTTTTCTAATTAGAATTCTAAAGGCTTAGGTTTTATCTCGTTAGAGTACTTTATTTAATAAAACATATTTGATGATACTTTTAGTTTTAAATAAAACTATCCTTTCGGATTATATTGCGAATTTATTTTGATTTTTTATTTATAACAATAATAGCTAAAATTAAATAAATAATATTACTGTATTTAACAATAATACTTATTAAAAAAAAAGAATGTTTAGAATTAAAATCAACAAATATCGTAAGGTACTTTAGTGCCATTTTTGAATTTTTGCAATCATTTTTGTAAAATTGTGTGTAGGCGCTGTCTGTAACAAGTATATAACGCCTTTGAGACGTCTACAACTTTAGTCTCTCCCGTGACCGTGATCGCTGTAAAGCATTCGAAACGTCGGGAACCAAAAATCTAAATAAATCCGGCGAAAAAATCCGAAAAGATAGTTTTATTTAAAATGTCAAATATTCGCGTAAATCTAAGAAAGTATTATACTTTAAGTTTTTAACTGTGTAACTGTCTTAAAGAAAAAGATTATATATATATATATATATATAATATTCGAAATTCAATGTAGCTAGACCTAACAGCATGTGTAAAAATGTACGTACGACTTCGAATGTTCACTACTTATAAATATTTCTTTTTGTTAACGTTAGAAAATGCATATTATGCATATCACTTACATACATACTGGTGTTTATGGCTAAAAAGTTAAGTTTGTGTGAACGCGCTAATCTCAAGAACTAAAAATTCGATTTGATTTTTTTTTTTGCATTAGATATCCCGTTTGTTAAGGAAGGCTATATATCACCCCGGAAAATACGGTTCCCGTGGGATAGATTTGTTTTTGTCTATGGACAAACCTGAAGTGAGTCGCTAGTATTGTATAAGACAATAAATATTTTTTTTTTTTTTTTTTTTATTATTTTTTTCAATGACCTACTTAACGTCACTATTAACTATTAACTTGACGACACGTTGGATCAGTTTGTAGTAACCCTACTTACTGATGGGTGGGCGAGACTGCAACCCACCCATCACGAAAGGCAAGACGGCTCTAGGGACCGGAGCCGTCGTCAGTGCCGGAAGCCGCCAGGCTGAGGAAGCGCATATGTCGTCATAATGGGTGACGACAAGCGCTTCCTACAAGGGAATCTGAACCACTCGGCCGGAGCGCAGGACCTTTTCCTGCAGTCCATGGCCGAGTGGGAGATAGGTCTGGCGGTGGCCTGTGAGCCCTACTTTGTTCCTCACCAACCGAACTGGGTGGGGGACTTAGAGGGCTCCGTGGCCATAGTGTCTGGGAGCAGCACCGGCCCCCGTCTCTCGGCAATCGAGAGGGGCCAAGGACTTGTCGTGGCAGGGTGGGGAGAGTACGCGGTGGTCGCCGTGTACTTCTCCCCCAACCGCAGTCTGGCGGAGTTCGAGATCTTCCTCGACTCCGTCCGCGCTGCGGTTTGCAGGCAGTCGCCGAGGCCCACTATCGTCCTCGGCGACTTTAATGCCAAGTCCTTGGCCTGGGGGAATCCCACGTCGAACGCTCGAGGGCGAGCCGTTCAGACGTGGGCCCTACTCTCCGGTCTGTCCCTACTCAATGTGGGGACAGCGTTCACGTGCGTGCGACAGCAGGGGGGGTCCGTGGTGGACCTAACGTTCGCCACCCCCGCCGTCGCACGCAGGGTGATCAACTGGAGGGTAGAGGAGGAGGTGGAGACTCTGTCGGATCATAATTATATCCGATTTGAGATCTCCACCCGTCCGGTGCCGGTGGACCGCCCAAGGGGGCCCTCTCGAGCGTTCCCGAGATGGGCCCTGGGCCGGCTTGATACTGAGCTGGCCAAGGAGGCGGCCATCGTAGAAGCATGGTGCTCCCAGGGGAGTGTGGTGGGCGCCAGCTCCAATGTTGAGGAGCTGGCTGGCCGCATGTGCGACGCCCTTACGAGGGTGTGCAATGCGGCCATGCCGCGGATCAGGCGGATCGACCGGCGTCGCCGGTCTGTGTATTGGTGGTCGCCCGAAATCGCACAGCTTCGGGCGACCTGTAATTGGCATAGACGGAGGTTTGTCCGGTGTCGCAGGAGGAATGGCCTGGACCCGGTTTTGGAGAGCGAGCTGCGGGCGGCCTACAGGTCAGCCAAAAAGGCCCTGCAGCTCGCCATCAGCCAGGCCAAGGCGGCGGCCCGCCAGGAAATGCTGGCGGGCCTGGATCGGGATCCATGGGGGCGCCCTTACATCAGCGCGCGGAACAAGCTCCGCGCGCATGGCGCCCCGGTCACGGAGACCACGCCGCCCGAGGTCCTCCTGCGACTGATCGGAGGGTTGTTCCCGGAGTCGTCTGGGCACGTCCCCCCGGTGATGGCTCCTCCCACACGCTCTGTGGGAGTGGAGGAATTCCCCCCAATCACCGAGGGGGAGATGGAATTGGCCCGCGATAAACTGCGGGCCAAACGGACGGCTCCGGGACCGGACGGTATTCCGGGGCGAGTTCTGTGCATCGCCCTGGAATACCTGGGAGGGGATCTTCGGGACCTCTTCAACGCTTGTCTTCGCGTTGGGCAGTTCCCGAAGATCTGGAAGGAGGGGTTGCTGTGCCTGTTGCCCAAGGAGGGTCGTCCTCTGGACTCCCCTTCGGCATACAGGCCGATCGTGATGCTGAGTGAGATGGGCAAGCTCTTCGAGAGAATTCTCGTTGCCCGTCTTACTCAGCATCTCGAGGAGGTGGGGCCGGGCCTTTCGGAGGCTCAGTTCGGGTTCAGGGCGGGTCGGTCGACCGTGGACGCCCTGAACGCCCTGAAGGTTCGGTCCTTGGCCGCGGTGGAGGAGGGAGGCGTGCTGTTAGCCGTCTCATTGGATGTGGCCAACGCCTTCAACACCCTGCCGTTCGAGACGCTACGAGAGGCACTTCGGTACCATGGGGTGCCTCTCTATCTCCGGCGGGTGTTGGACGCGTACCTCCGCGACAGACAGGTTGTGTGGACGGGGGCAGATGGGGTGGTCGGTCGTCGACGTGTCGACTGCGGGGTTCCACAAGGGGCCGTTTTGGGCCCGGTACTGTGGAACCTCGGCTATGACTGGCTCCTGCGTTGTCCGCTTCTCCCCGGGCTTGGTGTCATCGCCTACGCTGATGACACCCTCGTCACAGCCCGGGGGCGTTCTTACGAGGAGGCGGCACGCTTGGCCACAGTCGGCACCAACCTGGTCACCGACCGGATAGGGATGCTGGGCCTGAGGGTCTCCGTCTCCAAAACGGAGGCCCTCCTGTTTCATGGCCCACGCAGGGGTGCCCCCCGCAACGCCTGTCTGCGAGTCCAGGGTAGGATGGTGGAGGTTTGGGCCCATATGCGCTACTTGGGCCTGACCCTGGACGGACGCTGGACGTTTCGTGTCCATTTCGCCCAGCTCACCCCGAGACTGATCGGCGCCGCCTCGGCCCTCGGCAGACTTCTGCCGAATGTCGGGGGCCCTGGATCTCACTGCCGGCGGCTCTATGCCGGCATCGTGAGGTCCATGGCACTGTACGGTGCCCCCGTTTGGATGGACGCCCTCTCCGCACAGAACAGGGCCCAACTGCGCAAGGCGCAACGGGTCCTGGCGGTGAGGGCGATACGGGGATACCGTACGGTGTCCTTCACGGCGGCGACACTTCTGGCGGGCGATCCGCCCTGGGAACTCCAGGCGGAGGTGCTCGCCGAAGTCTATCGGTTTCGGGCGAGTGAGCGGGCGCGAGGGGAACGTCCAGCGCGGGAGGGAGTCGCTCGGATCAGGCGCCTAGCTGACGAGGCACTGATCCGGCGCTGGTGGGAAGACCTGGGGACTCCAGCGGCTGGCCGGGCGACGGTGGGGGCGGTTCGTCCGTTCCTGTCTCGCTGGGTCAGGCGGCCACACGGCGTCCTGACGTTCAGGTTGACGCAGATGCTTACCGGGCACGGGTGCTTTGGTAAGTATCTGTGTCAAATTGCGCGTCGGGAACCGTTGCCCGTATGCCACGAGTGTGGTGCGTCCGAGGACACCTCGCACCACACCCTCGCGGTATGCGCCGCTTGGGCTCCCCAGCGCCATGCCCTGATGGCGGTAGTGGGTGGAGACCTGTCGTTGCGAAGCGTGGTGGGGGCCATGCTACGCGACGAGAGGTCCTGGTCGGCGATGGTCTCCTTCAGCGAGGCCGTCATCTCACTGAAGGAGACGGCGGAGAGGGAACGCGAGGCTAACGCCTTAGCAGACCCTCTTCGTCGCCGTCGGCTGGGGGAGAGGAGGCGCCGGTACGCGCATCTTCTCCCGCCACCCTAGAGGAGCTACTGCGGGGGGGTCTCTCGTTGACTCCCCTGCACGTCATCGGGGCGGTTGGGATGCCCTGCGAACCGAGGGCATCCTGATTTAGGCGAGGCAGGCCCGCGGGGTACGGGCCGTCCGCAGGGGTGTTGCAGTGAATGCGCAAGCGATCCTGCACACCCCATTGCACTGCGGCGACGGGTTCCGCTGTGGGTTTTAGTGAGTAGGAGTCTCACAGTACCCTACCCATTGACGGCCGGTAGGGTCCCCATGATGGGTTTCCCCAGCGATAACAAAAAAAAAAAAAAAAAACAAAAAAAAAAAAAAAAAAAAACCCTACTTACTGTGCCAACGGTCGCGGGTTTGAGTCCCGCTGGGGGCATTCATTTGTGTGATGAGCACGAATGTTTGTACTCCAGTCATGGGTGTTTGTTTATATATATATATATATATATATATACATATATATGTATATAAAGTTATATATGTGTAGTGTATCAACTATCTGGTATCCATAACACAAGCCCCGTAGCTTACCATGGAACTAGATGGTGCTGTGGTTAATGTACCGACATATTTATTTATTATTATAGTAACAACTCACAATCCTGCTCGTGTTGACGAAGGGGTACGCGTTGTGCGACACGCCGGTCGGGTACATCATGTTCGTCAAACACATCGGACCTGTTGAAATATTAAATATCATATAAATAGTACCTTTCAGACCGAGTTTTGCTCGGCATTTTTTTGTAATATTGTATTTTTACGGAAAAGATTAAAAAAAAAGAAGATAAATTTTAATTTTAAAAAAGATTTTTACAGAAAATACTTCAAAAGCAAAACCTTATCTATACAGATAAATAAAATTGAAGTGTCCGTATGTCAAAATAACAGCTTTTTACTAAATGCATATGAAATTATATACGGTATTTATAATTTAAAAAAAAAACATTTTAAAAATATTTATCTATCTGTTTGTCCTGGCTAATCTCAGAAACGGCTGGGCCGATTTTGACGGGACTTTCACTGGCAGATAGCTGATATTATAAAGAGTAATTTAGGCTAAATTTACATTTTAGAAATATACATAATTGCACATTTTCATCAGATATACTCACGTATGTTGGGATCTTGCATAGGCACCGGCGCGACCTTCGTGTGCATATCGCCGGCGTCCGGCTGCGGGTAGCTCGCTACCGCATGCGGGGACATTATCTGCAATATTTACATTCATAAAATAGTTAAAAAATATTTGTTTAAAGTTAAATTTCAAACAAAACTATCCCGTGTTCCCGCGAGAATCAAAAATCAAAACAAATTCGCGGGAACAATCCGAAAAGATAGTTTTATGTAAAATGTCAAATATACGCGTAAATCTAAGGAAGTATTATAAGGAACAAACGCAATTGTTATGTCTAGATGCTATTGTTACTATAGATGCAAAAGTAACTCTGTCTGAACCAATTTTGATGAAGTTTGGTATATAGAGAGATGGAACCTTGGAGGAGGACACGGCTACCTTTTGACACAAAAATAAAATTTAAAGGGGATGATATTTAATAATAGGGGTAGATAGTATGTATTGGGATCAAATCATTTTTCAAGTTAAGTACAAAAATATTCGTTATAATATATCCTATAATTTTCATAAGAAATATAATTAATATTTCAACATTTTTGACAAATCAAAGTAACATAGGTGATGAATTTCAAGTTTTTTTTAAAGTACTTACTTATTTTCAATACCTATATATGTATATATATACATATAGTGTATTTTATTCTAAGCGTCAAATGTACCTAGGAAAGAACACGAGCGAAGCAAGGGTAAATCGCTTGTAAATATATAAAATAATATACCAATCGCTGGCGGTAATCGCAGTTGCTGTCATTACACATACACACACACATATATATATATACATATATACATACACATATATACATACATATACGTAACACAGACAGTATGTCATTATTATTAAATTCTTAAGAAATATACACAAATTCGCTTGCAAAAGTAGTATATAATAGAATAAAAAGTAGCATATACATCGATAAAAGAAGTACAACATACACAATCAGCGACAAAAAATGTCCTCACCGAATGAGCGCTCTTTTGAACATTAGAGCGCGCTTTTGTATTTTTTGTGAAAACTTTAAGCATTGCATTTAAGGTCCATTTTATATTGTTGTATATTTATTTCAACTGTAATAATTACCTAACCACAATAGGTGTAAGTTTTAAGAGAACTTTTGCATGGGATTGTGTATCTAGTTTTTTTCGATGAGTATTTAAAAAAAGAAAAAGAAAAACACCTCTTCATTCCTATATCCTTGTGCATAGTGTTGTTGATACGCATCTTCTTTCACTCTCTGCTCAAACGCTTTCTCGTATCTGTCGTACGATTTCTGATTTGATTCATACGATCTCTGATTCGACTCAAACGATCTCTGATTTGAATCAAACGATTTCTGATTTGAATCAAACGATCTCTGATTTGAATCAAACGATCTCTGATTTGACTCAAACTTTCTTTGATTTGAATCAAATGACTTCTGGTTCAAATCGAACGACCTTTGATTCGTATCAAATGGATGTTTAGGCGATTCAAACGACCTGACTGATTTGTTCTCGTATGGTTTCTTGGATTCGAGCCTTTGGTATTGGTTTGGTTCTATCGGTCTTTGAGTTGAAGATTCAAACCTCTGGGTATTTTGATTCGCATTCACCTTTGCCTCATGTTTAACAGTTTCTTTCGCTTTAGGTATTTCCATATGAGCTTCGGTCTTTTGTGGTTCATGGTTCTCGGTTTGGTTTTTTAATTTCGGTTCCGGTTTCGGTTCCGGCGTGATTGGTTTGCTTTCGCAGTGGTTCTTAACCGGGCTCGTGGGGATTGACGCTGCTTTTGTTTTTTGTGGAGAATTCTGTAATGAAAAATAATTGAATGAGATGTTTTTATATATATCTGAATAAATTGATAATAATCTAGACTCGTGTATATTCGCATATAATATAAAATAATCCTTTTGAGGTAGTATAGGATCGCTTCGTTGTCCGTCCGTCTGTCTGTCTATCGAGACGCTTTTTCTGAGGACTGCGTTGAGGTCAAGTTGAAATTAATATCAAATACTTAGGTCTGTAAGCCTTACAAATATAAAAAAATCAAACTTCTAAGTCAACGCAATCAAAAGATACGGCCATTTATGCCGCATATTTTGGCACACGCAAGTTAAACCTCTGTGTGCGAGTCAAACTCGCACTTATCCTATATTTGTTTCAGTTAATTTTGTAAAATTACGCCGCACTCGTGAGTCGTAGTGTGAAGTTAATAAATAAGCTATAAAACACAAAAAATATTCAAATCGTACCATTAGATCTAGTGATTAGCGCGTTCAAACAAACATACTCTTCAGCTTTATATAATACTAGCGACTCACCCACGGTCCACTCTTGTTCATCCCAAGATAGGTTTTAACGTTTAGTATAGATTTCTCAGAGATGGGATATTTTCCCGCAGTTAAAAGTATCCTATATGTTGATTCGGATAACCAGCTATCATTATACCAAATTTCATCAAAATCCCTCCGTGGATTTGTCGTAACGCGATCATAGACAGACAGACAAAAATTCTAAAAACTAGATAGATCCGGCATCTGTATCGATAAAAATTAATATTTCAATAAAATTTTCCAAAAAATATTTAATGTACAGATTCGACTCAGAATTTTATTATATGTAAAGAGTATAGATGAATGCGTTCACCTTGTCACTGGAACTGTCACGACACTCGCAACAACACTTCGTTTGACACTCCTCTGTCGGCTGACACTCGCAATCTGGCAAAAATATATATACATATATAATACTTCTTTAGACTTACGCGAATATTTGACATTTTAAATAAAACTATCTGTTCAGATCTTTTCGTGGATTTATATTGATATTTGGTTACCGACGTTTCATAAAGCTTTACAGCAACCGTAGTCTCAAAGGTTATTATGTAATGTAACAACTATAAATGATCTTTGAGACATCTAAAAACTTACTCTCTCCCGAGACCATCTGCGCTGTAAAGCATATGAAACGTCAGGAACCAAAAATCAAAATAAATCCGCGAAAAAATCCGAAAAGATAGTTTTATTTAAAATTATCAAACCTCTTTGTATTTATATTATGTTTTTAATTTCATTCAAATAGCGATAAATAAAAATACTCATACGAAGCAAAATATATTAATAAAAAAAAACAACACATACCATTATCAATGAAAGACTGTTGCTTCTCTAATTTTCCTCTTTTCTTATCATTACTCGAGTCCTCCTGCAAATTTAATGTATTTTAAATTGGAACCTTACGGTATCATACAATAAGTAGCAAATTACAATAACTAGTGAATTACAATCGCTTTGCACGTTAAAGTATTATAAATTAATATAAGCAAGTTGTACAAAAAAGAGTCCAAAAAAAAGCCATAATGAGAACTGCCGACAGAAGTGCAAACTTAAAACTATAAACAAACAGCTGTTATTTTTGGATATTCAAATTAATTGTTTGATTTTAAATTGAAATTTGTAAATTAAAACTGTTCACATTTATCTGGTTTTGACATCTATCGGCACTCTGAGTGTTAGCGTTAACACGTCACGTGACCATGTCGATGACGACTTACGTGAACTTACTCCCCATCCAAACAAACCTGCCTATACAAGTTTTCACTTAACTGTCTCCTAAACTATATATATATATATATATATATATATATATATATATATATTATAAATATGCATCATTGCCCCATTGATGACGGTGTAAAGTCCCATATGGTTAACAGCATGGCATCAATTGAATAAAATCGCTTTGCTTTGCTCGGTTGCGTCACTAGCTGTCTTATATACATATATAATATTATATATAGGCACGCTTCGGGAGTTAAATGAAGCGGGTTCGAATCCCTGGTTTCGCACTTTTGATATTCTCATGTGCGAATCATTTCCAACATGATCACCGCTTGTCTTACAATAATGGAAAACATTGTGAGGAAACCTGCCTGATCTGAGAGAGATTAGCAAGTTTTCGAAAGACATGCTCATTTGTCCATCGTGGTGGACTATGGCTTGATCCCGATTATATTGAAAGCCCACGCCCAGCAGTGGGACGTTAAAAAACGTCTGAATACAACAAATATTCCCACCTTCTGTTCGCCGCCGCGTATGTAACCCGAGGCGTCGTACATTAACGGAGGGTTGTCGGGATCGAAGTGGTAGAGGGTGCCGTCGGGATTGGTGAGCGGTCGTCCCGTCTGCGGACAGGGACAATGAATAATATCCATTAATACACATACAGTATATAATGCACTAGCAGGTATTGAAATGGATATAGTATGTTATCTTTAAGAGATAGACATATACCATCGCGGACTTTTCTGTAGATCTACATAAGATACACAATTCCACCATACATTATTTTGTTATATCTCAAAGGGTTTCGTTAAAATCTCCCAGACGGTTTATTTTTTACCGACACCTCCAACAAATATTGTTATATTTTAGGCTATATTATTTTCTACTATGTAGTATGTATACATATATAATATACACTTTTCTCCGAATGGACCAAGCACTGAGATTTTGCGCTTCCACGTGATTAGTTGCAGATGCGATCACAATGGAAGTCATAAATCGTCCGCCGTTGCGTTCTGTACCGTTCACACGTCTCTCGTGTAGTTACCTGCCAGTGATACGTCGGAAAGTGATAATATTTAAATATACAGTAAACTTTAATTTAATGTTGATTATATTTGTATCTTGATTTTATTTTATTACAAATTTGAAATTATTAATAATTCCTCACTAAAGCAGTAGCAACATCAACGAGTCCTATGACTTAAAACCAGTTGCAAGTGTTAGTGGGTGGAGCTAGACAGTTTTCTGTCCTTATCAGTTTGTATGCAAATGTGGGACAGAGTATAGATTGGTTTAAACACTTTGCTTGTGTGCGTCAAAATAGTTATAACGAGACTTTCATAAAAGGGCACCTTAGACACATGCTGACATGACAAATTTGATATTTGTGTAATTAAGTATACAAATTTGGTATTTCGGATTTCTCTAATTAGGATTTAGAATTTCTAACTCTAACGAAAAAAAAATATTTTCGTAAGAGCTATCGATCTTCGCGCTGGTACCACCTATATGCAATACATATATTTCACCCATATATGTATGTAGTATGACAAATATATATTCTGTTCTACAAAAAAAAATCTTAAAATAAATCGGTCCATGTGTCAACGTCACGCACCTGCGGATGTATGACGAGAGCGCCGGTCGGGACTGCGGACACGTGCGTCACCGCCCACAGCAGCGTGGCGCCTTCGCCCCCGGGCTCGGGGCTCGCACCGCCTACGATCACAGATTATAACTTAATCCCATTAATATTATAAATGTGAAAGTTTGGATGTTACTCGATCACGCCGGAACGGTGATTTTTTATACGTAGGTATAGTATATAATTTCACATGCATTTAATAATATGCTATAAATTTGACATTACAAACAGACACATTAATTTTATTTATCTGTATATATGTATGTATATATAATATATATATATATATACAACAACTATTAACGCCATCTATCGTCATACAACGGAACTAATCCCACTACCACTACATACCAGTTGGCGATGGCGTGACGGAGTCGGTGCTGCGAAGGCTGAGGGTCTTGTAGCCGGAGCTGGATGGCGACAGGCGCCAGCTGCTCGAGGCCAGGTCACCTGGAATGTGTGTATCTGCATGTTTGTTATACTTAACATTCACCCGACTGTCACACTTTTATATATGACAGGTCGGGATCGTATGATGGTCATATAAAAGTATGACATTACGACACAGTCGGGAAAGTATTTATTTATTTATTTTTTACATCTACTTAGAACGGCGGTGCCACTTACACTAACTCGATTATCTATAGTCTGATTCGAATCTGTACATTAAATATTTTTTGACAAATCTTATTGAAATAGACATTATTATCGATATAGAGGCCGAATCTATAGTTTTTAGAATATTTGTCTGTCTGTCTGTCTATAACCACATCACGAGAAAACTACTGGATAGTTTTTTAATGACATTTGGTATGATGATAGCTGGTTATCCGGGTCACCGTATAGGAAACTTTTAGGAGTGAGGGTGAGTCGCTAGTACATTATAAATAATTACAAACATAAAAGGAAAAAAAATAGCATCGACGTTTCCTCGTAAAATTCGGCATACAATTTAATATCACTGTTATACTAAAAAGTATAACATTCATATTAAACTATGGAAATGGAAACAAATAAAGTGTGGATATAACTGTAAGTTGCCAATGATGGCGCTACCGTGCTTTTCATGATATGACGGCGAAGTTTAATTGCTTGAGCAGGTTCTAGGTTCGAGTCCAGATCAGGTTAAGTCTATAGTTATACTCTGTATAAGTTCGCTAATCTCCCGAATACATACATCCCTGCAGCTGTTTAGTCTCAGTGCCCGATATTGTTCGAATAATTTAATAGAATTATTATTTCTAATCTCTATTTTCGCATGATACGCAAATAATAATATCAAAGGCGTCAAGACCCGGGATTTGACTCCCTTCACTCGGTTTCCCTGGGCTTCACTTCAATGGGCTACCGCTACCTTGGTATTATAGTAACATATAATTATAATACTAAACCCAGCTCACCCTGTCTGCTGAGCAGGCGCTGATGCGGCGCGGGCGCATGCTCCGAGTAGCCGCCGAAACTGTGGCTCTTGGATACCGGCCCCCGCGCGCGTCCCGCACCCCCTTCAAGGGAATGCACCTGCGGGGGGATACACATACATACACACATACATATACATGTAACATCAGGAGATACTAATAAAAGCGTTTATAGTACACTAATTACTATTTATTATTTTAAAATAGTTTTTTGCAGTATATTGCCTGCTTACATCTTCTTCGACGTCCAGGAGTTGACTGGGAGAGATCTCTTTCAGAGATAAGTCCACCTTTGTGAATTATTTTTATTGTTGTTTTTTTTCTGTATCACATTTTAAGAATTAATTAATTTTCAAAAGAAATTAACAATTGTACGCAACGATAAAAATAAAAAAATAAAAGAAACAACCTACGGTTACTGACATGTTTATTTCTTCACAAACCTAACAATATCATACCTTTTTGAAGCTATTAATAAAATAATTGAATTGCATTGAACATACCTTTAGAAGCTTATTCCTTCCAGATTCCGGCGTCAAAAGCTTTACTGGTCCAGAGAGCCATGGCCACTGCGACTCGTCCTGTGTACAATTATCCTGGAAAGGATAATAAATAAGTAAGCTACGAGGCTTGTGTTATGTATACCAGATAGTTGATACACGACATATATAACTTTAAATACATACATATTATTAATATAAACATTCATGACTGAAATACAAGGGTATTTCTCCGAGATTGCGTTCTTCATCTGATTAATCTGGCAAAAAATTATTTGCATTATTGGCTCTATTCAACATACTCTTATGATTAGAGACATGCCAAATATTATTTGTCAAATATTACGTTACGTTAAAACGTAACCAGAGAAAAACCCGAGCGGAGCGATTGTGAGTCGCTAGTAATTTTTAAAATTTGATAGTTACAACAAGTAAAGCCAATGGATAATAAAAGCTAAACATGCTAGACAAGGACAAAAAAACACCACCAACCGTACTAAATATCCTGCGTCTCACTCGCTCGTAGTCGCGCTCGCGCTGCTCCAGCGACTTGCTGCGGCCCGCCGCCGCCGCCGGCGCCGAGTTGTTCGTGTCGCACCTCTTCAATATCGACCTGGAGAGTGTTATCTGTTATATTACCACAGTCTACTGATACATACAGTAGTCCAATGAAGTCGTCTTTATGATTACCACAGTGTACTATTCCATACAGTAGATTCACGAAAGTATTTAGAAATCTATCAAACTAGGCAATAGTGCGGGAGAAAATGCGGAGAAGCCCATCCGATTATCATATTTATTTTTATGTAGTAGTCGGGAAACGGGAAATCATGAAAAGACCTCTAAGTCCATACAAGTAGTACAAAGTGGCACCCTTATTCTTTTATTTCTATATATATGCATAATAAAATTGTAACAAAGCCGAATATGTACAATAAATATTTTTTGGAAAATCTTATTGAAATAAACATTATTATCGATACAGAGGACGAATCTATAGTTTTTAGAATTTTTATTTCTGTCTGTCTGTCTGTCTGTGACCGCATCACGAGAGAAGAACTGGAGGAATTTTAATGAAATTTGGTATGATGATAGCTGGTTGTCCGGGTCCGTAAGGCAGGATACTTTTTACTGCGGGAAAATATCTCATCTCTAATAAATTTACACTAAGTTAAAACGTAACTAGTTACTTTTTTACTTTACTTGAATGGGGTTCGGCGTTGGTTTAGGCTATAAAATACTTAAAAGTCACAAACATCCATTTTAGACATGATGAAAATATATAAAGGGTTCCGTTATTCTCATGAGGGTTCGGAACCCTACTATAAATATAACGGGTTCATTACTTGGCAGTGTCCACGGGGCGCTCATCACTGCGCGGCGACTGCGGGAACACGGCGGTACACCATCGGCGGAATGGCGTGCACGGGATTCGACCGCCGCTCGTGCCTGTCGAAATATATTTTTTTACCCGACTGCACGACACAAAGGAGGGTAATGTGTTTATACACAGTCTGTGTATATGTATGTATGTATGTATGTATGTGGGGTTGTACCTTTGTGGCGCTATTTAGAACAAACGCGTGGGCCGATTTTGATACATTACACGTTGTTTGATTCGTCATGACGGCGCAAAAAAAATTTTTTTTCGTTATCTTTTATGATGGCTGTTAAAACATAAAAAAATAACACATTTTTAGACCAGATACGAAGAAAAAAATCGGTTTTTTTTGCACTACTAGGGTAATGTGTATGTAGTAGTATAAGTATGTAATATGTAAGTGTTAAGTATGTTACGAGTTTTCATGAAAGACTAAAGAAAACTATTTTCATATACATACATATATCAGTTGACACAAAAGTTACAATGGATAAAACTTTTTATTTTGTTACCAACATACGTGTGTATATGTAAATATATATATATATATATATATATATATATATATATATATATATATATATATATATATATATGTATGTATATATTCAAATCCAAAATATTTTAGTCAGCATTAAATAATCATAATATTTTACTGAACATCATGAGTCTACTACCAGTTCGGAAAGAAGTAGCCTCAAACGCGAGAAGAACTGGCGAATGAAACTAAGCGGGACTAATATTAACTCGTTATCTATTTTTTGAAGTAAAATTATAATTTACAATATTTCTATCAAGTTGAAGTGTGTATGTTTGTATGTATGTAGTATATACCAGTCTTAGAGACGAGCACACAACTCTTGGCGCCGTGGTCGAGATGGTGCGCGAGGCGGAACAGCGCGGCGCAGCGGTGCACGAGCATGCGTCCGTACGATGTCATCACCGGGAACCGAACCACACACCGTCTGAAACCATCGTACCCAACTTAATGGCCAAGTTTCATGATATTTAATAACGCAATGAAATTATAATATAGATCAAAACCAATAAATCATTGATTTATTATGAAATCTATCATAAATAACTGAGAAATTAATATGAATGCGGGTAGTTCAGGTCGTATGAACGGAATTATTGTTATAAGCGCAACTTTAAAAGTATCATAATTTTCTCATTTGTTGAGATATTTTAATAATTCTTTCACATTTATTTTATATTTTGCTTAAATTTTAATATAATTAATACAAATAAAAATAGGATACTCCGATATACCGGACTGCCAACTTTACGCGCCAACTTTCCAACTCCGGGCTGTTACTGTGACTTTTTAACAGAAAGACTCAATAAGTAAACTTGGCCCGACCCGGGACTCGAACCTGGGAACTCCAGATCTGCAACTGTACATAGTCATCAGACCACTGAGTTCTCAGAGGAAAATTAATACCCTCACTAGTCCAACCAAAAAAAAACACGACAAATTAAAATCAAAACTGAAAAAAAGGCACGAACAAAAACTCCGTGGTTTTTGCACTAAAAAATAAAATAAAAAAGAAAACTCACCCATTATCATTGACCAAAGAATGCAACTCCTTCTCAATACGCAGCAACGTGATGCGATCACGTGGGTTCTTGTTCAGGGTCTCCTTGATGAAGGCGACCAGCTCCGGCATTGTTGGCTCTGATTCTGCAAATGGATCGTTGTTACCTTGGCATAAGGTTCAAAATGATATAGACGGAGTTTACAACAAAACAAAAAAACTATTTATTTTTCGGATTTTTTTCGCGGCTTTCTTTTTAATTTTGGTTCCCGACACGGAAGAGACTAAGGTTTTAGACATCTCAAAGGTCATCATGTAGTTGTTAAAGATCTATCTTATCAGATTTTTTTTCAGAGAGACCGTTTCTCCCTTGACCATACGTCACGTCGGAAACGAAAATATAATCCATAAATGTCAACAAATCGGGCAGACTTACACACATTATTGTAAAAATATATGTATTATAGTACTGCTCCGCTCCCTTGTGTGGTAGCATGATGATATATATACCCTATAGCCTTCCTCAATAAACGGGCTATCTAATGCAAAATGAATTTTTCAAATCAGATAAGTAGTTCCTGAGATTAGCGCGTTCAAACAAACAAACTGTGACTCTTTATAATATTAGTATATGTTATATAGTTATATGGTGAAAATATTACTTACCAAAGTCAGTGCCACTAACTGAAAAACTCTTAGCCTTCTCTTTACGCTCCGGACATCTGCAAATATGATTATTATTTATTTAATTGAAAATATATAACCATTTTAAATATGACCAATGCACTTTTAAGGGTCCAATTAAGAACAAAAAAAAAAAATAAACAAATATGGGGCTTATGTGGTCTTTCATTTATCTATAGTATATTATTTAATAAAGAAAAAAATACATTTTTGTTTGTAATGGATAATCGAAAAATCCGCTGAACCGATTTAGATGAATTTTATTATGAAGATAGTTTTAGATCCTGGGAAGTACATAGTAGTTTTATCCAAGAAATCATCCCTTAAGGAAGTGAAAAAAGGGGTTGAAAATTTGTATGGGGAAGCAATCATTTCTCAAGTATGGGATATGAAACCCATCATACCTAAGTATGTATAGTCTATCTATTCCATACTAAACGTAAAAACATACCTAGGGACGAACAGGAGCGAAGCGAGAGCGAGCGGACAGTATACAATACTTAGCACCTTACATTCGCTTCGCTCGGGTACGTCCCGAAGCTTGAATAGTTTAGAAACGCATAAAAGACAAACGTCCAAAGAAAATTTCTTTCTATTTTGCCATATACAGAATAACCCACTAGTTTCATCACAATCGGTTCAAGGGTTTAGAAAGAATGTTTAGAGGACAAACATACGAACATTCATTTTTATTTATATAGGTAGAAGATAATAATAATCATTAAAATCGGTTTACAGTTGGCGGAAATATATAACAATGTGCAGAAGAATTGAGTACTTCTTTAAAATCGCTCAAAAAATTTTTCAATGAAATAAAAAATACACTATATACCTGCAATAGAATGTCTGCTCGTCTGTGTCTAAGCTGCCAGATTTTTTCCCTCCATTACAATTTGGACCTATAACAATAAAATATTTCGTAGACTAATTTATAGGGCAGTATTTGCGTTTTTAATACACTTTTATTAGCTTCACCTGTATATATCTATGTTTGAACGCAATTTTCACCCACTTCAAAACTTCAGATAGAATTGAAATTTTGTACATTTAACTAGAACCAATGAGAATACGATAATTTATTTAAAAAAAAAAACTAAAAAACCACGCGTTTATAGCAGAACAAACTAAAAAAAATGGAAAATATAATACGTCTAAAAAAAAACTAAAAAAAACATGCTTTAATCATGGACCGAACTAAAAAGTAAAAAAAAAAAACATATTTTAGTATAAGAATATCTAATGATTAAGGAGAAAAATAAAGTTGTTGTGACAATAGTCTGATAAACACATTATCCTCCTTTGCGTCGCGCAGTCGGATAAAAAGCGTGGGGCACATACTATTATACTCGTAAATCGTACCTATGGAATTTTTAAAGCTACTGATATCGAGTACATACATACACACACACACATACATACACATAACATTTAGTTTTCTTTTCTTGGTTTCTGATGAGACAGATAGGCAAAATAAATGGCCAACGCGTTAGAGGACACAGATTAAAAAAAAGTAAAAAACCAAAATAGTTTTATATAAAGAAATACCATCAGAATCTGAGCAATCTGGACAATCCTCGGAGCAGACGATCCCGGAGTCTTGCTTCGTGGGACATGTTTGTTTCCTTCTCTTGCCTCTGTAACATAAAAGAAATATATAGTGTCAATAAATAAATAAATATTACTAAATCAATGAAACCGTCCGCGTTATAAGTGGACTAAAGTAATTTTAATTCTTTGTATTATTATTTTTTACTTTTGGAAAATTCGACATTTATTTAACAATTTCTTACATTGCCAGAGAGATTAAAGAGCTGTAAAAATGATTTTTGGAATTGAACGCGCTAGCACGAGCGCAGGATTGGCAAACACTATTTCATGTATATGTGTGAGTTAGTACACATACCTATATATGTGCGTGTGTGTAAGAGTATATGTGTGTGTGTGTGTGTGTGTGTGTCAGTGTGTGCACATACTTGCAGTCCGGACATGCGCACTCGCCGCACACGCATGCGCGGCGCGGCCCGTGCGTGAGCAGGTCGCGCGACGTGTCCGAGTGCGGGCGGTGGCCGAGCCATCGCCGCGCGCGCATGCGCTGCTCGCTGTGCTCCGCTTGCGGGGCGACCGACTCGTCCCAAGCCCCAGGTGTTATCTGGTATATTTTAACGTAACACACATACATACATAAAATAAATAATATGTTGGGAATTTAAAACACACAGCACCATCTACATACACATTGAATATGTACATACATATTATAAATATAAACACCCATGACTGGAGTACAAACAGTCGTGCTCATCACACAAATGAATACCTCCAGTGGGACTCGAACCCGCAACCGCTGGCACAGCAAGTAGGGTTACCACAAACTGACCCAAACGTGTCGTCAAAATAGGCAAACTGATGATGATGACGTCTACCGATGTCGAGCGCCACGATAGTTCACTATGATATCTTATACGATTGACCGCCGAAATCACTCAATAAGACATTATTATATATTTTATGTACAATAAATTTCGTGATAACAAACAATTCATTAAAAATTATTAAAGCTGATACTCTCTAGATTTACCCAAATATTTGACATTTTAAATAAAACTAACTTGTAATGGGGTAGACAGTGTCTGTAGCAACTACATATACTCATATAATGACCTTTGAGACGTCTAAAACCTTAGTCTTTCCCGTGACGTCATTCGAAACGTCAGGAACCAAAAATCAAAGTAAATCCGCGAAAAAATCCGAAAAGAGTTTTATTTCAAATGTTATTAAAGCTATGAACATAAATACTAGAGATGTGCCGACTAGTCGCAGATTTACTTCGAGTCGGCCACTTTTGTAGTCGGCGACTAGTCGGCGAATAGTCAGCAAAAAGGGTCGACTATCCGTCGTCTAGTCGGCCTCTTTACTGCCGAATAGTTGGCTAGTCGGCTAGTCGGCCTAAGTCGCAGTCGGCACATCTCTAATAAATACCCATTTAATTACTTACTTATATATCTTTTGGTATAAGTAATCTTTTCAAAACCCACCTGTATTTCCACCGGCTGCTTCTTATCACACAATCTATCATTATCTATCACACTACACCTATCACTATGACTAGACGTGTCACTATTGTCCCTCTCACTCGCACTTATATCTTCTGTATGTTTGTCCTTGTCTTTCGCGTAGGGGGAGACTGTCCGGGGAGGGGATGTGGACTCCCGTATGGCTTGACTTCGTACCAGTTGTTTTGATTTGAAACTCTGAAAAATAAATATATATTTAAAAGGGCAATATCATTATAGTTTATATTGCAGGTAAAATGCATCAGTGCAAGTGTAACATAGTCTGCTTATAAACGTCATTACTCGAGTGAAGTCGCGGGCGAAAATTATACTAGTTAAAATTAATAGTAAAAAAACATTTTGAAACTCAAGCTTATTTATAACATTAATATCATATAAATTGTGTAATTTAATAAATTGATGGGTTTGATTTAATTTAAAGTTTATTTAATTTTCTTCTACTTATATATTACTTATTCATCAAACCCTTTCATTAGCTATCCATACCATGCATACAAAACACAGTCCGCCTTCTTTGGAAGTCCGCCATATTGGATTTAGAATGACGTCACTTATCCAACAAAATTTATTTTTCAAAAAACTAAAATTTCAGTAACTATCTTATATAAAATAAAATTACACACATATAATAAAATTGTAACCAAGCCGAATCTGTACATTAAATATTTGGACAATCTTATTGAAATAGTCATTATTATTGATATAAAAGCCGAAACTATAGTTATTAGAATTTTTGTTTGTCTGTCTGTCTGTCTGTGACGGCATCACAGAAAAATAACTGGAGGGATTTTGATAAAATTTGGTAGCTTTTTGGAGTATGGGAGAAATTAAAAACAACTCCAATAGAATTATTTACATCTGTTTAATTAATGAGTAAAGTGTAATAATCTTCCATGACATGATATATCAACTTAACTTTTTCTACTTTTAATCGAGCGAAACGAAACAACATATAAAAACTATTTTTGTGTTTCGCCACAGCTTATTTTCCGGTTCAACATAAAGGATACTTTTTACTACTGGAAAATATCTCATCTCTGAGAAATCTATACTAAACGTTAAAACGTAACTAGTGACGAACCCGAGCGGAGCGAGAGTCGCTAGTAATGTGATAAAATAATGTGTACATACCCTATTCCTGGTAAGTCCGCCATCTTCTGAGCTAGCACAGCCCTTTTCGACCTCAGGTTGCTCCATTACAGTATTAAACTGAAAATAAAAAAAAACAACATTTGTAGAATTGTATACCTATATACATTTATTTTTTATATCTCGGAAACGGCTCTAACGATTTGGATCAAAATACATAGCCCCTTACAAGGCTGGAGTAATACAGGATTAAGATTCCATCTCTACGTTTTTCGACCCTAAAACGGGTCTTCTTATTACAGAATATTTAAGTACAATTAAAATTTGCCTGTCTGTTTGTTCCGGCTAAACTCCGAAACGGCTGGACCGATTTCGACGGGACTTCCACTGGCAGATAGCTTATGTTATAAGGAGTAACATAAAATATAAGAAAAACAAACCAACCTCAAGCGCTCCGTAAAATCTTCTAAACAGCAACAACTACATCTAACATCGATATATACAAAATTGGACCGAAGATGTAGTGAGAAGGCAACTATAGAACTCGAATATTAAAGCTTAGACCATTAGAATTAAGCTCGGTTATATTTTACTCCTCGTGCTAGTTCCTGTGGACGGCTGTATGGGGACATGGTGTTATGTGTGGCGGCATTTTATCCTGTGCTTCTTCACTGTCGCATACCCCATTTATCTGTAAAACAACGTATTGATATTAATAAATATTCTGGTAGACGAAAAGCTTATTTTTGGCCAACTTTAAAAGATACAGGTCTACTATATTTATAGGTGTATTTTTTTTGTGTTTTTATTGAATATTAGCAGAACCCGCGGCTACGCACGCGTTCAATGTACAAAAAAAACTCTTTGCCTTTATATTGTTCATACAAAAATACAAAAATGGCGATTAAAATTGGAGGTGGGGGTAAGGGCGTGAAAGATACTTTACGACATATTCTCATACCAAATATAGAAAAAAAATTCATTAAATTCGGTTGAGCCGTTTCAGAGGAGTGCGACCACAAACACCGTGACACGAGATATTTATATATTAGATTAGACGTTATAATTTAGATATATGGTACTGGGTGGGTGGTCCAATGAAAATTCCACCCCTAAGGTTGGACAAATTATTGTAAAGTTATTTGACGTCGGCATTTTTTTCATATTTTATCCATCTGTCGTCGGTTCCTAGCGAAAGTGTTATCTATACAGATAAAAAAATTGCAGTGCCTGTTTGTTATGTCAAAATAATAGCTTTTACTAAATGCATATGAAAGTATATATCTATGATAATTATAAAAATAATCAAGGTTCCGTGCAAAAAAATTGAAACCAATAAAATTGTGACTAAAAGCCACGTGTACCCGGACGCACCCGTGGAAAGTCTATCATAAAAGTCCCATTTTTCACAGGAGTAGATTCCTTCATCCAGTAGATCAGGAGGGCCTTTTCCCCGTGATACACATTTAGATGTGATAGAGCGGACAGATAGACATACACACGAGTGATCCTATAGAGGTTCCCGTTTTTACCTTTTGTTTTATTAGTCATGGGTCCTTTAATATGCGTAGCTTCAGATCGTCAAAATCAATCTCGTATCAAAAGTTCAGAAATCTTATAATAATAACAGACAGAATTTCTTAGTAATATAATATTACGTATTAAATATCAAACATCAGTAATTAATTTTCAACAAAGTAACAAGAGTTAAAAGTTTTAACTTTACAAGTTGTAAAGCTGACGTTAAAGTTGAGTTTCTGAAGTAAACTTCAAAACTCAAGCACGCTCCTAGTATGTAAGCTAATATACCTACTTGTATCTACGTAATATATACAGATAATACAAATAAATGAAATTGAAGTGTCTGTTTGTAATGTCAAAATAAAAGCTTTTTACTAAATACATACTAAATTATATACGGTACTTATAAGAAAAACACAACTTTTAACATTTTTGTCTGCATGTTTGTTCCGGCTAATCTTCGAAACGGCTGTACTGATTTTAACGGGACTTTCACTAGCAGATAGCTGATGTTATAAGGAGTGACTTCGGATACTTTATTTTAGAAAAAGAATTAGAATTCCGTTCAAAAATAATAAAATGTATCTAAGAAACGCATCCTATCGAAGCGAGGGTAAATCACCACTAACCAGTAATATATAACACGCGTCCACGAGAACTTACAAGGAAATAAGTTTGCCTGAAGCATTTTGTTGTAGAAAACAACCCATTTTATTATCAAAAAGATTACATCTAAAAAAATAACGTTGCAAAACACGAAGACGTTGGAAGAGAAACTATATGACATGCAAACCGACTGTGACCAGATTCCGGCATTTCCATAAGCACATAGGACACGACACGGGTTTGCAAGGCTCACTATCATTAGTGCGAAGATTTACAATTGCCAAAATTGTATTAAAGAGTTAAACTCTGTTCTCTGTCCCACATTAGCATACAAACTGAGTAGGAAAGAAAACTGTCTAGCACCGCCCACTAACGCTTGCAACTGGTTTGAAGTCATAGGGCTCGTTCATGTTGCTAATGCTCTTGTGAGGAATTATTAATAATTTGTAATAAAATAAAATCAGCATAAAAATTAAATATACATGAAAGTATTAATTAAATAGTAAATAGTAAAGTATTAATAAAATATTAGTATTTTTAAATGTTTGTGTACATTATATATTAATTTTCACTTTCCGACGTATATCACTGTCATCTCCTACATCTATTCTCTATAAATAAAAATGAATGCTGGTAAGCGCATAACTCAAGAATGGCTGGACCAATTCGGCTAAATTTTTATTTCGTATGTTCCATAAGGTCCACGGAAGGTTTTAATAAAGAGAAAAATGAAAAATTAACGTTTATTTTTATTATTATTAAAAATTAATATGGCTGACGCTGGCTAATAACTATTTATATCTAATTAAAACGTACCTAGCGACGAACCCGAGCGAAGCGAGGGTGAGCCGCTAGTTAATAATAAAGCAGGTAATTACACGAGAGACGTGTGAACGGTACGGAACGCAACGGCGGACTAATTATGATTACCATTGTAATGCTGCGGCCTAAGCGTCTTACCTGCAATCAATCACGTGGAAGCGCAAAATCTCAGTGATTGGTCCATTCGGCGAACACAGTATACTCCTGTATACTAATAGTATAAAATATACCATAGATATTTAAAAATCCAGAGTATTGCCTAAATTTTTTTAAACGCGATATTTAAAAATAAGTAAAACTCTACATTGTAGTCCTCCTTAGAAACCTTCCGCTGGCTAAGCCTTAAGACATACATTAAAACAATGTGATAAAAAAATATAGGTCCTGAAAAAACCTATCTGTCTGCGATAGTATATGTCTATCTCCTAAGGTACACTCGCAATACTTATTCTTATCTATACTTATAATAAAACTTGTCAAAATGTGCGCGTTTCTCCCAAAAAGTATCTACTGAACCGATTTTAACTAAATTTGTATAGTACTTGGGTCAATATTTAAGATACCTTTTACTACAAGCAAATTTTTCATTCCCACGGGAAAACACAATAAGTAGTTCTATCCAGTCGTCCTTAGAAATTTATATGTCTAATGCTGGCTAAACCTTGAGATACATCAAAACAATGTACAAGAAGATTTTAGGTCTTAAAAAAGTCTACAGAAAATTCTGCAATAGTATATTATGTCTACCTCCTGAGGTAAGACTTAAGATAAGTAATATAAGTGAGTCAATAGAGAAATCACAACATATGTGCCTCCACTAGTGTTGCCTCTGGCGGATCTTTTTTCAAATGTTCAGAGGAAAAAGGTATAAAGGTACTCTTCCGGTCGATACCTAGAAACTATGACACTGACAGACACACAATAAATTATAATATCATAATTTTCATTTTTCCATCGTGATCGTACATAACACCCGAAAATCTTTCACAAATTCCGTTAAAAATCCAACAAAAATATCGTTAAAATTAGAAATCTAGCTCTAGTTAACGAAAAAAGAACACTGGTGCATGCTAGATTCTTCTAGATCTATCTCTTTGTATTCATTACCATTCATTTAATGTAGCATGAGAACAAGCCCAATGTCCATGACCCAATACCGCTGTCAAGTTCATACCTACGCCTATGCGTCACTGACTCACTGCCGCACGTCTCATCAAGGCACCACTACTTACCAGTTAACAGACGGCTAACTTATGGCTGGATAAATTACTGCACCTCCTTGTAAGACCTTGTGAAATACAAGCACGTGTAAGAGTTGATAAGAGGAAACATATTGTTTTAGCCTTTAAAGTCTGACGTACGACATGTTTGGCTCAGTTTTGTAGTGATGCTACTTGCTCTGCCAGCGGTCGCGGGCTCGAGTCCCGCTGGGGGCATTCATTGAGTGATGAGCACGATAGTGTGTACTCCAGTCATGGGTGTTTGTATTTATAATATGTATGAATCTAAAGTTATATATGAATAGTGGTATCAACTACCTGGTATCCATAACACAAGCTTACCAAGGAACTAGATGGTGCTGTGTGTTAATGTCTGAACATATTTATTTATTTACATAATATGTAAATACATAACGTGACTCCATGCAAACAAACAATATCGATTATTTATCTATATGTAATATGTTAAAACGATTGATAAAATTTCCTATTTAACAAAATCGTCCCTGACCCAGCACTATTATCAAGCTCAATAAGTTAAACTTTTATAAAATAGTGATTTCATTTTTCCAATAACTTCTTGAGAGATATCCATTGAAGTTGCCATGAGTATGTTTAATATTTTAAACAAAGTATTAGGAATATTACAGACTAGCTTTGAACCGACTTCAAAAAAAGGGAAGTTACTTATTATGCACATATACGCATGCAAATAACCTTTACACCATTCCAGAAATGTATAAATACTTATAATAAAATTGTAACAGAGTCAAATCTGTACATTGAATATTTTTTGGAAAATCTTATTGAAATAGTCATTATTATCGATACAGAGACTGAATCCATGGTTTATTTTAATGTTTTTTCTGTTTGTCTGTCTGGGGACGCATCACGAGTAAACCGCTGGACAGATTTTGATGAAATTTGGTGTGATGATAGCTGGTTATCTCCAACAAACCTCATCTCTGAGAAATCTATACTAAACGTTAAAACGTAACTAGTGACGAACCCGAGCGGAGCGGGGGTGAGTCGCTAGTATAAAACATACCGTAGATATTTAAAAATCCAGAGTATTGCCAAAAATTTTTTAAACGTGACATTTAAAAACAACTAAGTAAAACTCTACATTGTTCAGTGTTCAGGAGATGCCCACGTACTAAAATTTTAGCAATGTAAGTCATGAAGCCCTTGAGTACAATGGCTATTTCGTACGAACAGGAGGCTATGGCGAAATCATAGAAAATATTTTGGCCTGATATTGAGAGTTAGCTATATTTTTTAAACATGACATTTAAAAACAACTAAGTAAAACTCTACATTGTTCAGTGTTCAGGAAACGCCCACGTACTAAAATTTCAGCAATGTAAATCATAAAGTTTTTGAGTATAATGGATATGACCTACGAACAGGCGGCTATGGCGAAATCATGGGAATTGTGTTTTAGCCTGACATTGAGAGTAAGATGTTGCTTCACCGGCTCATTTCGCATCGTTTATACGATTTCTCAGACCTTCGTCGGGGTGATGGCGCGAGCCTTGCACGTCCTTGACTCAGCCGCTGTCAAGTTCGCATTTACGGTCGTTGAATTCAATTTGATTGGCTTTAGATATGATTTTTCTCTAGATTTTTTCATTTTATATATACCTATGTATGTATAAATGAACAAGCTACTTAGATAATGTATATTCCAAACAAACAGATCTTTCCACTTTACAATATAAAGTAAATTCTTTTTCAGGCAGAAATTTGTAACAGCCCAATAGGTTTGTTATAAACGGCGGAAGTTGTCCACAACAGTTCTATCACGTGTGTTATGGAGGAACCTTGTCGTGAACCGCCACCTCAACGAACTGAACAACAATGATATCCACGCCATAGGTGACGCCGATGACGTTTCTAGTACTAGTTTGCTAGATTACTGGGACTTGGGAAAGGGGGTTATGCTCAGTCATTATTTGACGACTCGTTTGGCTCAGTTTGTAGTGACAGTTGTACTTGTTGTGCCAGCGGTCGCGTGTTCGGGTCCCGCCAGGGGCATTCATTTGTGTGATGAGCACGAATGTTTGTACTCCAGTCATGGGTGTTTATGTTTATTTAGGTATAATATTTAGGTTCCCTGGGCTTGGGAAGAATAAACACATAAAACAGAACAAGCTCACGCACAACGGGCAAACTTGCCTAAGTACGGAAAAAGCAGTGCATAAAGAAGAAAAATAGTATTTAGTACCTATCTACAGAATCATAAATTATTTTAATACGCGTGTGGTGTCGCGGGTAAACTATAAACTATTCAATATTTCTCGAACACTAGAAAAACTATTTTACACGTAAAGTATTTTAAAATATTTTAGTTTGAACAATTATATATATTTATATATCTTATATATAAAATTTCCATGTCACAATGTTTGTTACGGTACTCCTCCGAAACGGCTTTACCGATTTTTACCAAATTTTATATGCGTATTCAGTAGGTCTGAGAATCGACTACTATCTATTTTCCATACCCCTAAGTGATAAGGATAAGGGTGGTCCTCCCAGAGCCCCCCCCCCCCCAGGGACGAACCCGAGCGGAGCGATGGTGAGTCGCTAGTAATTATATATATTTATAGATATTGGACACGTTATGCCCCAAAAGATATAAACAGTAGATAGTGCAGGTTAATCCTTAGTTATGTGTTTACTAAATGGATATTTTGGCAAATATACACAAAAGTCGAGAGCAATTTATGTTACGTAACTAGCGACTCAATCTCGCTTCGCTCGGGTTCGTCCCTAGGTGATTCTTTAAATTGACATTACTTTTTTGTTTACGAACCGATTGAATTAAAACAAATACTAAATGTTAAGTGAAGCTTGTCACAATATATTAGTGAAAACCGCATCCAAATCGGTTAAGCCATTTTCGAGATTCGCGCGCACTTACGCACAGACAAACAGACAAACCAACAAACAGACAAAAATTCTAAAAATCATTGTTTTGGGTTCTATTGCGTAAACAAGACCCCCAATGATAGTTTTTCTCAAATATCTTCCATGTACATACAGCGATCAGTTACACT